AGCCGGCTCAGAATTAATCTCTAAATGTGTGAGCAGCAAGAACCTCCCAAATCGTATCAAGGCTGTCCCAGGAGGATAGGGTGCATGAGCACATCCTCAGCTATTGCCTAATTTATTGGGCTACATCCTGTATCCAACCAAGGAGAGGTCAGGTTGGGTTGGATGGTCGGCAACATCTAGTGTTGCAGGAAGAGAACGTGCCGGTATGTCTTCTGCACTATCCAGAGAGGACAGTCGACCGCCCGACATGGGAGCTGCGGTCCTTCTGCAGGTCATGCCCCAGCAATGTTGTCCTTACTGCTTTGATGCCTTCCACTTGGTGCCCTCTGGGTTCTCGGCCCCAAGGTTTTCTCCAGCCACGGAAGCCTGCTCTGATCATGTACTGGGGAGGGATGCATATGGCAACGGAGTTAATGTGTCCTAGAAGCAACCCTGAGCCAACGACCAATGGATATGTAAGAACTGTGTGCTTTACTCAAGCTCCTAGACTTTCATCCCCTGTATGGGGGTGCAGCCCCAGGTGACCCCAGCAGTAACTGGGTGGATGGCACTATCTTAACTGGCTGCCTCCCCTTCTTGTTACACTTTCCACTTTCCTACCAGAAACTCCTTCCACTTTCTGATGAATTACTTGAATCCAAATCCTTATCTCAGAATCCTACTTCTCAGAGAGTTTCTTTACAAAGAATTCTAGTCTCTGGGGCAATTATATTCCTCTTTGTATATCGAGTAACTGGTGATCTGGTTTGTACATTGGTCTTTTACCAGCTTGGCTAATGGAAGTCAGTTCCCCCTGGGGCACAGACAACTCTGGGTAGACAGACAAATACAGAGTGTAGACATGCATAGTCAAGGATGAGTCTAAAAAATTATCACTTTGTGAGAAGCTTCTCACTCACCTAGTAAACATTTGATCTCATCTAACAAGTAGACAATAGAAATTTGTTTGCATCTTTGATTTCCTCCCCAAAGTTGGAGAGAGAGATTCATTGTGGGAAGAGGAATTTATAATTTAATGGGTATGTAGATGTAACATACAATAGCTACTGCTTAACAACAACAATAAAAAAGATTACTATCTGTTTAAATATTTCTGATAACTAACACTAGTGAA